CCCCCCCCCCCACCCAGGTTTCCGTTATGCAAGCCAGGTCGGCCCCCTCATCCACAATCAAGTCATGGATGAGGGAAGATTTATTGTTGACTGACCTGGCATTGAGCAACAGCACCGTCAGGCCCGAGGGGCGGTTGACAAGTCTACCTGGAACCCTCTGGCTGGGGGCAAAACCAGAAGGAGGGACAGGTGTCAACCATCTGTCCCTCCTTCTTCTACGCGGACACGTTAAGCCCCCACCGCTATTACGTCCATTGCCCATGACCACCCCAATGGCGGCGCCCCCGCACTCCCCAGGAAACACAAACGTCGACATGGCCAGGGACGACTCCATAAAAACAAATTAACACAGATTAAAATACAATAAAATTATAAAAACAATTACAATTGGTAGTGATGGCTACCAATTTGGCAAACCTTAAAAGGGGAATAGACAAATTCACTGTAGAGAAGGCTATCAATGGCCACTAGACTCACTGCCTATGAGCTACTTCCATTATTGGGAGCGGCATGCCCGCATATAGCAGCTGCTGAGGAGCTTTGGCAGGCAGAACTCTTGCATTCATCCTGCTTGAGAGTTCCTTTGGGCAGTAGCTTTGCAACCATGTGAACAGAGCTGGAGTGGATCGACCATTGGCCTCATCCGGCATGGTTCTTCCTATGTTCTTATGACTCCAAAGCAATACAGCTGTTTCTTGTTGGCCTGCTTTCTAAATCTCTCTTTAATCTGCCTGCCTCCAGGCTAGGGAGTGAGGGCTCACTGCTGAATTATCTGCTCACTTACACATGGAAAGGCTCCAACAGTTCCTTTATCAGTCATTGATGTTCATCGTGATGGTTATAACCTAGTATGTATAAAATTTTTAAAAGTTTAGATTGGAGAGACCATAATATTGATTAGTTTTGCTGTTTCTCTTCAATTATTACTTCTCTGATATTTCCAAAGCAGCAAAGAATATCTTTCTGTACCATTAAACTTATTTCATCCACATGAAATCATGTCTACATTAACCTCAGTGTAAAGGACTCTGGCTTAAAAAGGGCAAAACTACTATTCAATTCTGTGCTACTTTCCATATTGTACCTTCTTAAAATTGCTTTTTGAAGATTGTGCGAGGAGGCTGGGTTACAGAAAGGGTGATGAACTTATTTTAGCCAAAAGCTGAATACCAGCTCAGATAAGTTTTAGGGGAATGTATTCCAATGGTGGGTGGAATACATATATCCTAGCTTAAAGCTTTTACTGACATTATATAAGATTTAAGTTGAAATGCCTCACCTTTTAGAACAGGGATATACACATAAAACCTAGGATACCACCAAAAGTTGGTGAGCCAGGAGGAAGGGGCAGGGGCATACTGGGAATGCAGGAGGAATGGATTTGGTCTTGGAAATTATATTAAACGATGCTCAAAATAATTCTTTAAAAATGTTAAGCAATCATGCTTTTGAGAAGGAATAATTTTAAATTTTATAAATTACCAAAGCATCCTATTTCTGGATAGCTGCAAACTCAAAGACTGGAATCCTAAGAGCTTGGGTTGGGCATGCCCAGTGGAAATTTCTAACCCATTCCTTTACACAGTGGACTTCCATGCCATATCAGAAATGGTGTTTGAAAGTCTCCAGTGTCCTGGACTCAGAAGGTCTGAAATAACTTTGGCCAAATTTGCCTTGGCTATCCAGAACAAATTGACACTGGAATTTAGTTCTTCATCTCCTTGGTCAATTTTATACAGGCATTCCCCAAGTTATGAACATCCACATTATGAACAATCCATGCTTATGAACGAACTGCCATAAAGCCTATTAATTGTAAAAAAATTACTGTGAAAAATCACCACCACCAGAGAGAGAGAGAAAGCAAAAGGAGAGAAAGGGAAGCATCCAAAGCATGCCTTCCTGCCCCAGTCATCTAGAGAGGGAAATCTCTCTGGTATTTTCTTGCTGCAAAGAAAAAGCACTGGTGAGTTGGGGGGGGGGGGGGCTAGAGCCATTTGCTGTTTTTCCACTTTCATGGGGGTCCTGCATCCCTAGCTCCCATGAATGTGGAGGGCCAACTAAGGGCCAACTATGCATAAAAATTGTCTTAAAGACAAATTTCAGTTTCCTCAGGAACAGAACTTGTTCATAACCTGGGGACTGCCTGTAATTACATGTCACTTTTTGCTGTTACATTTTTTTTTTTTTTTAAAAAAAGCACCTCTTGTGATATAAACTTTGTAGATTTTCTTGTGACACCTTTGAGTCAGCAACATTGTGTGCTTCTGTTTCTTCCATTTTATACCTGCTCTAGGCAATCGTGGCCAACAAAAATTGATGTTCCTCAAGATTTAGAAGATGACCTTACAGCTTCTCCTCTGTCCCATGGAACTGTTCCTCAGTCTCCAGCTCGCAGTGCTGAAAATGTTCTTAATGGTCACAGGAGTAAGGCACTTAATGATTCAGCAAAGAAAGAGGATATACCTGAATTAGCAGGACCAGCACTTTCTGTTGTTCCACCAGTGAGTTTGAAACCTACAACCAGTGGTCGGAAATGCTTGTTTAGGGTAGAAGAAGATGAGGAGGAGGATGAAGAAGATAAAAAAACCGTTTCCCTTTCAACTCAAGTTGTCTTGCGCCGAAAGCCTTCAGTTACAAATCGTCTTACTTCCCGTAAGAGTGCTCCAGTCCTCAATCAGATCTTTGAGGAAGGAGAGTCTGATGATGAGTTTGATATGGATGAGAACTTACCCCCCAAACTTAGCAGGCTAAAAATGAATATTGCTTCACCCAGCACTGTGCACAAACGTTACCACAGAAGGAAAAGCCAGGGGCGGGGATCTAGCTGCAGTAGCTCAGAAACAAGTGATGATGATTCAGAAAGTAGACGGCGTCTAGATAAAGACAGTGGGTTTACTTACTCCTGGCATAGACGGGATAGTAGTGAAGGTCCTCCTGGCAATCAGGGAGATGGCAGTGGACAAGGAAAGCCAAGCAATGGAAATGGCGGGCTAGACAAAACAAGCCCTGGTGATAACAATAAAGGTGGTGGAAGCCCTTCTGGCAGCTCCGGTGGAAGCACGAATAACAATTCGGGTTCTACTCGCAGGTGTGCTGGGTCTGGTAGCTCAATGCAGTTATCATCAAGAAGTGCTGGTGACCTGGTTGAAAGCCTCAAATTGATGAGCCTCTGCTTAGGTTCACAGATTCACAGTAGCACTAAATACATTATTGATCCACAAAACACCATCTCATTTTCCAGTGTTAAGGTGCAGGAGAAATCAACATGGAAAATGTGCATAAGTTCTACTGGGAGTGTAAATCCAGCTTCATCTTTGGGTGGCATAAAGTTCTTTTCTGACCAAATGTCAGATACTGCAAATGAATTAGAACGAATAAAGAGCAAGAACTTGAAAAATAATGTGCTACAACTACCTCTGTGCGAAAAAACAATATCTGTGAATATTCAGCGAAACCCGAAGGAGGGACTACTGTGCACCTCCGGTCAAACTACTTGCTGTCATGTTGTTTGACAGTAACCAGACTCAGCCCATCCTACTTGACATCACCAATCTTCCTGTTCAGAGCTGTGAATACTTTATTTCACTAAATCCCTTCATTGTCAATTGTCTTAATATTTTAAAACAGGCTTTGAGCAGTAATTTATTACCGTATTTTTCGCTCTGTAAGATGCCCTGACCATAAGACGCACCTAGTTTTTAGAGGAGGGATCCATGGAAAGCTTCCTGATAATCACAGGCACATTCCCCATCACTTCCCCATGGGTTTCATTAAAAGACGGGTTGCCATTTGAAAACACACACGGAACTGTGATTAACAGCTCTCACCTGCGCCGGGGGAGGGGGGTGGAGGAGGGCGCACCGAACGTATGCCAGCCAGGTGTGGTGCAGGTGGGCCGGCAGCGTGCCAGCGGTGGTCTTCCGGGCGACACGGCGGCGGCAGGTCTTCCCGGGCAGTGGGGGTGAGCATTTTGTCTCTCCATGCGGCTGGCGGGTTAAAGCCCACGGCTCCTCCTCCTCCGCAGAAGGTCTTCCCGGGCAGTGGAGGTGAGCAGCGCAGCAGGTCTTCCCAGGCGGTGGGGGTGAGCAGTCCATCTCTCTGTGCAGCCGGCAGCTTAAAACTCGCGGCGGCTCCTCTTCCGCATCACTCCCCCTGAGCGGCACAGCTCTCAGCTGCGGGGGGGGGGGGTGGGCTGAGCGCGTGGTGGCCAGGTGGTGCCACGTGCTGCAGGTGGGCCGGCAGCATTCCGGGCGTCGGGCACACACACATTCGCTCTATAAGACGCACAGAGATTTCCCCTTACTTTTGAGGGGGGGGGAAGTGCGTCTTATAGAGCGAAAAATACGGTACATTTTAATTTAGTTTTGCTTGGTATGACAATGCATGATTTTGTGCATGCTGCTAGCCATTTTTTTTTTTTTTGTTCCCAACAAGCCAGGATTTGTGTAACTTTTTTACATTTATAATTTTACTATAGAAAACCTGGATTACAGTAAGGCTTGTGTCCAAATCCAGTGTAAATGAAGCACTTAATAGTTTCATGTTCTGCACTTAGAGAGAGAGAGAGAGCGAGCGCGCGCGCGCGTTTTGATTTTTTTTTTTTTTTGTCGGGGGGTGGGGACTGTGAAATGTCCAATCTTGTTCTGATCTTCTCTGTTGACTATACTATGTGAGATATGGCATAATTCTGAGTGTTTGCAACAGAACCAAAGCAATAATGTTTTGATCCTGAAAACTCTTCTGAGAGTTTTCAGAGTTCCAAGGCTTGTACGAAGCAAAAATGCACTGAAAACTAAGAAATCTTGAACTATGATTTTTAATCCCACATCTTTGTCTTAAACTAATAATATGCATGAGTTGGTGGCTGAACTGAAGATCTTGTTTTCATACAGACAAGATTTTTTAAAATCTATCCTTAAGGCAGCTTTTACCCATAGAAATATTGTTACATGCAGACAATCTTTTAAAAAAAATATAACAAAAGAAAATTATAATCCGCTTGGAAGCTTTTTTCCCCAATCCAAGGAAAAATGCATTTATTACCAATGTAAATCATGGCAGTAAGTTACAGTGCAAAACACATAAATGGACCAGTTTGTGTGATTGGTGAGAGATGTATTACAGTAGTTCCTATAAAGTAACAGTAATGGACACTTTAAAAGACTTGAAGTTTGCATTTTCAAAGTCTGTCCTCCTTGCCCGCACAGCCTGCTTACAATATTAATTTAATATTAATTAAAGCTTCACAGTGTGCTGATCACTTGAAGAATATAATCCAGCACCTCATTTTTATCCCACCCATGTAAACAAAGAAATGGGCAATCAAATATGCAGTTTACAGCTTCAGTGTAGAATTGTCTATATCTAAAATTCTTCAAAATATGCAGCTGTTCTTATAATCTTAGCCAGGTATTTCAGTTGAAGTTATGGAGAGCAGAAACAGTTGTTGGAATTTAACCAGAATAGGAGTCTGTTCCGATTAGCAGAAAGCCTATACTGGAGTGCGTTAACATTGTGTCCATAGTACATAGATTTCAAAACACAGCACTGGATAAATTAATATCAAATTCACCAAATTATTCTAATATCAAATTTACTTTGGAGTATACAGTAGTCTCGCTTAATTCTTTTAAAGTAACTCTCTCTCCAAATCAAGTCAGATAATATAAGTTAGCATGGATCAAGTTCTTTTAACATTTTTCACTGCTATTAGCTTTCCTTTTTAACCCCTTGCTACTGAAATGCCAGCAGATGAATGTGTTGGCACTTTTTTCTGTACAAAATGATACTTTTGACCAGATGGAATAACTTTTGTGAACTTTTATCTAGAATAAAATATATTGCATCTTCCCAATTTTGGGAAAGGCAAGAATGTTATTTTTTCATGCTCTGTGCACTGGGTCTTCAAAGCAATGCTGGTAAGAATTGATGGTATTATGTAGCAACAACCCAGACAGGCACTGATTGTCTGAGAGAGTTTACATAGTTTAGTATCTTAATGCTAGCAAAATGGTCAAGTAGAATACATTTCATTTATATTGTAGACTGTAGAGCACCAAAGAACTGTTTGATTATTATTTGTTCACACTCACTTTTATTAAGTGTGGGAAATCTTGCTAAAATATATATATATATAGATACTGGGAAGGAAGTTCCATTGAATTCAGCATGGCTTACTTCCAAGTAAACATGTTCAGAATTAGGCTATATGTCTAAATTGTGCAGCCATCTGTCAGTATCTAGCTCAGTTCAGGCTGACATCTTTCCCCTTCCTAAATGTTGCAAGATAAAAATGAAACATGTTGGTTTAGTTGCTTTTAGCTAGTGTTACAATTTCCTTTTAAAGAAGACTATCATGCTGCCAGCATGATATGCACATGCGCGCACACACAAAGGCTGTAAGAACAGATGTGTGAGCGAAGCCATAGAACATACTTGCTTGACGTTTTCTTGAGCAGGGATCTTACAAAGGGCCAGAAATAGGGACAGTACACAGGTGACAGTCAGCAGAGCATCTATTAAGAAAAGCAGGAGCAAGTTTCTAGAGGGCATTGGCAATAAACTTAGTTGCAGCTTTTTATTTTTAAGTATTGTAAATATACTTTCCACACATTCTGTACAGCCTTGGAATGGCACCTTTTGACTAACCCCAATTTTTTTGTTTGTTTTTATATACAGATGTGTATATATGGTGCTCACGTTAGAACAGCAGTGTTGACCATTTATGCTGTATGGCTGTAAAATAGCCTTATTTAGTTGTGTATGGTTGGGTGAACCTCTGGGTGTACAGATGTTAGCTTGAGTGTTGTCTTTTTATCCCTTTGTTCACAGGTGAATGATTGTGCATGTGTTGTACGTTGTATTATGTTGTCATGTTAAAGGAGGGAGAGAATAACCACTACATTAAAATATATTGGACCAAACTATTATAGAGCAAGTAACAGTTCCTTGTACACCCCTTAAACCTGTCTTTACAAGTTACATATAGTTACTGTAGCATATAAATTATTGTGGAAAGCAACTAGTCTTGTATTTTTCTGTATGTGTATATAATGTACCTCTAGCAATTTACCTGTATTTAAGATGTGACAATCTTGGCACAGAATTTTACAAGTAGCAGTGAAATTAAGCAGAACAGAATGGAGAAAAGCTACATGTATTGGGGGAGACTACAGAAATACCAGTTGATCTTTGTCAGTTGCTTCCAGCAATGTTTGGCTTTCTTCATTGTATAAATATTCATGTGTGACAAATGAAAAAAAAATCCAGTTAATAAAAACAACCTCTTCATTGGTGCATAAATAACTTCCATGTCAACTTTATATACTCTTTAGTATGGCTGCTCTTTCAGCATTGAGTGTGAGAAGCAGGCATACTGTTATAATAAGCTGCCATCCTTTCTAGTAAGTAAAAAAGGGGTACATTGTACTTGTAATGGATGTTCACTGAGTGGCGCTCTGTGCATTCACACAGTGGGAATTGCACCTGTGCAGGGTGAATTGTGGCAACTTTTAGAGTGCTATAGCAAGCATTACACAGTTTTCCTCTTCCCTTAGCAGACTTATCTGTCACTCATACCAGAAGGAACACACCTCCCTCAGTTTCTTCCTGAGCCAATACCAAGATGTTGCCAAGATTTAGGAATGTCTTGTTCTTTGAATGTTGGTTATCACATTTCGAAACTGAGAAAAAAGATATGACACGACACAATGGGAAGAGGAAATGAAACTGCATCTTCATGCAAACTATTTTTAATCTGTTCAACATGGCTCAGAAGCCCTATTTTTAAAATGCAAAAATGGCAGGGTTAATTTCAGATGCTATTCTCCCTGTGTTTTCTATCTTGAAGAGCAGTATGACGTGACAATGTTCAATTTGCCATCAATTCACACCAAAAGCCTCAAAGGATGGGGCTTTGTGCCTGTTGTGGGTCTGTGCAGAAGCCACAGAGATGAAAGAAAAGCATTGAAGTAAATTATTGATCAAGTAACATTGCTAAAGCAGGTGGAAAATTCTTTAACCATGAATATTATCACAAATAAACAGAAGAAAATTGAAACATGACTTGTAAATCTTGCTCATTTATAAGAAAATTTGAGGAAAATAAAGCTGTTTGCATAAAATTTAATGTCATTTATCCCATTTGGTCAGATTACAGCATTGTAGCAATGTGTGTGTTTTATCATGGTGAGAGGGGGATCTCATTTGGCATCTGTTCAACAAAAATTATTCTCATGGAAGTGATGGAATGTATACATCAGCAGTACTTCTTTCCAGATGTGTTATATTTGAAAATGTAAAATATATGTAAAATGGGTCAATCGGAGTTTGGTTACAGCTCAGTTGAAACAACCCCCCCCACTCCAGAGTTAAACATACAGTTTTTGGTTTTGTTTTTATTATCCAGGAAGTCACATAATTCTAAACTGCAGTGTTAGTCACCGACGCTAGTCCTATAGTAATGCAGCTTTCCCCATCTTTGTTCCAGTAACCCACATTTTTGCTCCAGTCCAAAACAGTTATCTTGCATAGCAATGTGAACTGAATTCAGTTTTTGCTTTCACATTCATACCTGTTCCTCTGGAATGGCTTGGAGTAAAATATATAATGAAGCTCTTCCTCCAGTTGGAGAAACATGTTTTAAAAATAATATTATTAAATACTATTTACAGAACAGTGGCTCTTTGAACACAGAGGATGTGTTAACAAATACTTTCAAAAAAGCCATTGCTATGAGTAAATGTAGCTCTTTGGAAAGTAAACTATATCTAGGTAACTTGATGCACTGGTACTGCCTGATACTACATAATCAGTCATACCAGGCTTAACATGCTAGGGTAAATGTGCAAATTTGTTGCCTTGAAAATTCCAATATGTATAAATAAAGATATGGAAAAAATGAGACCCCACAAGAACACAATTTATTTTGAACAGCAATTCATGTCAATAGAATATATGCTACAATGTATCCGACTTGTATTCTGAAAGTATACATTTAAATCCAATAACGGCTGTATGTGTGCGTGTGAGAGAGCGAGCCTGCACCTGCATTATGACCCAAAAATACCCCATGTGTTTATCTTCATAGTGTTTTAAATGACTGAGAATTTTATTATAAAGTTAACTAACATTGTACTCCTCACTATCTTGCCTGACTTGACTAAAGAGTCTGCTGCATCTGGATTTAAAAAAACTAACAGAACAACAAGCAGATTCCTGTAGAACATACTAAAAGACATCTTATTTCTGTCCATGTGAAAGAGGTTTTATACACTCAGGCTGAACAGCCAAGTGACATCAAGAAAGTCTAGAGAAGGGAAGGTGGGTCAACAGGTTTTCAATGAAGACAGATGGGTGGGTAGAGCCTTAAAATAAGGTGGCTTTCTCTTCCACAACTGCTTGCTGCTCTCGTTGAAGGTGGAAGTGGATTCTGTTGGCAGCAGTGTAAGGTAAATAAGCTCTAGTTTTTCTTTCTAGAGAGATTAAGTCAAGCCTGGTGCTATAGTGGGAATGTACAGTGGTATGATCCTGGCTGCATTATTGTGTATTTAAAGGCAAGCCTAGCAGTGATGTTGCCCTAAAGTTTTGGAGATGGGAAAATGCTTTGACAGCCCAACTATTTAATGTTATGCATGTTAGGTTAAAGTAGGTTTTATGTTCTCATAGACTGCCTGAAGATCATTCCAAATAAAAAAAAAAAGTTTTAAAAAAATGGGAGTAGTTGGTGTGGGAGTCAGTTCTCTTAATTGATGCTGAGGTGAGTTTAAATGCTTTCCTTTGCTGCTGAGGTTCTGATGAAAACAGCTTCTACATGCATTGAAAATAAATCTCCCTTTCACTGTTTAACATACAAATGCTTGTATAGTGTTACGTCTAGTTTGGCTCCTAGAAGGCAAAAGGTACCACATTATTGAAAAGATAGGTTTAAACATTCATTGCCAAAGGATGGAACGTGGATTTTTTTAGAATGTGAAATTAATCCACTTGTTTCAGTTCAGCACTAATTTGAACTGAATTTTCAGCATTTATTATTTATTTCTATATGCTCAATAGCCAAAAGGCTCTCTGCGTGGTTCAAAGTTAAAAAGAACATAAAGCAAAAATATATAACAACAGTAAAACAAGCACCCCAAATAAAACAGCAACAATAGGCCCACAGCAACCTCAAATTGGTCCAGAGGCACAGCAGCAATACCACATAAAATATAGTAGAAAAATTGAGAATAAAAGTTAACTATTAAAATAGTGGGCAAGTAAAAAGGTTTTCACTGGGCACTGAAAAGAATAAAGAGTAGGTGCCAGGTACACTTCTTTGAGGAACTGGTTCTATCATACTTCTCTTTTGTAACCATGTTGAGCTTTCTATAATCATTTCTAAAGCTTCAAGTTATTTAAACTTTTATCCAGTAAGGAGTTTAAAGTCCAAATGCCTTTGAATTGCTGATAGCAGACAAAGGGAAAGAAGCAGGACCTATAGAAAGTTTCTGGACCAGATGGAAACTTATGTAAGCTGAAGGTTCCTCATCATCATTCCCTATCCAAATTTTGGATTACACTTCAGGATAAAATACATGCATAAAATACAGTTCTCATTTCATCTTGCAAAAATGGGAAAACAACTGGAGACATATAAGTGAAACTGGTTTACATCAGCCACTGGAAGGTGATCTTAGGTTCACATGTGGACATCCTCTGTACCTGGCAGCTAGTATGCCTGTGCATATGTACTTCTTGGTCAGTATTGAGTAGAAATACCGCTTGCATAATCTTTCCTTTAATAAAAGTCAAACAGAAAAGGGATCTGGGCTATATCTGAGAGGCAGGCCCCACTGTTGTCATGGTGGGAAATAACAAGAGACCTGACTACTAAACCCTGTGATTCAGTGCACCCATAAGCATAAATGAGGTTAGGTTATCAGTACTATCTCCTAACCACATTTAGTTAGTCTTTATAGTGCCATCAGCATTTATTTCATTTCTATATTGCCCCACAGCCAAAGATCCATATATGCCTGAATAAAGCAAGCATGCAAAATCCATGACTATTGTAAGAACTGCAAAATTCTGGCCCATTATATGCCAAGACTGCAAGGCAAGGAAAAGTCTGATGTGCACATCTGGCTTCAATCAGTACTAATGTTGATATTATTTTTAGGCCTTCCTCCCAACATACACACCTATTTTAATAGCTACTGAGCTAGGGTTTCTTATTTAACAGCAAATGGTCTCATAGAGAAGTACTTTCTCAAGTGCATGCTGCCTCATAGTATGAGAAAACTTTTTTACAAGTTCTCCACCATAAAATGAAGAGCAGAACATATATTCATCATATGCCACAAACAAGAACACAGGGAAATGAATTAGATCCATAATGATGAAATATTTTAATGGCTCACTTGCTAGTCAGAGGAAACTATTTAATACAGCCTATGTTTAATGATCCAGCAAAGTGGAAGTTAAAGCTGACTCGAAACAATGTACAAGCAGGTTTTTACATCTTGACAGGTCTGGATCAGGATGAGTGAGCTTTGGTTCATGCCAAAACTTCTTAAAATTGGTAATTTGACTGGGGCACATGGATTTTACAGTAAAATATACAGCTCATACATTTTACATTACACATTTCTATAAAACAACAATCCTTGTGCACTGGAGTGGCCCTGTGGGACAAATTTATGCATTACATCTTACAGTAAACAAGATTTAAATTCATTTCTTCTTAAATGCAGAGAACTATCTAATAAGCTGTCTACAAAAATAATATGATGATTAAATATTTGAGTATGAAGATAAAATAGTTTAACTGCCAGAGGGAATATGAAGCTGTGAATTAGGTATTGCTGCCTCCAGAATTCTTTATAAAGCTGTAGCTCAGGCTTATGGTTATGATTAATATTTGCATCCTTAAGGGACTTCCTTATCAAGTTCATGACTATAGATTCTAGCCATCGAATATAGACTATAGATCCTCCCTTAGGCTTCAGTCAAATTTTACATTATGAGACTGGGAAAGAGAAGTCTTCCTTGAGTGAAGTTTTTAATGACAAATCAGGATAAGACAATGTTCTATCATGTAGTACAAGGATCAAGGGAAAATACCAAGCATTTCTTGTTGTTAATACCTGGAGATTGTTCTTCTGTAGCTGCTCAATTAATTGCCTTAGTGGGTTCTTCTTTCAGAGACTCTGCTGCCAACTTCATTTGCTAGGAATGAAATAATATTAAAATTATGCAAGTCAAGCAAACACTGTGCATCTATAGTTATAATAAAAACATTAATTCAATCAGTGTAATTTGGAGAAAAATGCAATATATCTTCCCATATCAGAAGGTCATGACCAGGTGACCTTTGCGCTTGCTCAGTCAGATGACCAAATGCTAAGAGCTGATGAGCAACTTAAAGGTCCTTTCCTGCTCCCCTTTCTTAGGTTTCCTATTAAACTTTATTTGGACCTGATAGCACTTTAGCTAGAGGTCTGCGCGGTGCAAAGTAGATACAAGGCCACCTTGGAAGTTGGCCCCACTGAGTTAAATGGGGCTTACTCCCAGGCTGGTATGTAGGAAAACACAGCCTCAATTTTTCATAAAATTCCAGCAACACTTCTCACTTACTGTATTGACAATTGCAAAAATGAACATGTGCACTCTACTCAGCTTTAACACAAAGGTCTTACCACCCTTTTGGAAAAATGTCAGGACTTGTGATGGCAAGTAAAACATTCATAGTAGATTGTCTACCAAGACCAAGTCGTTTAGGGATTCATAAATGAAAAACAGCACCAAAATATAATTAAATAACGGGGGGGGGGGGGTTTGCAAAAATGGGCTGTACCACTGTCATTGCTAGGAAAAGCCACTATTTCTCCTGACCATCTTTTCTGGAATGGTACAGGAGTCCACTCATAATGAAGGGGTTCTCCATACCTGCAGAAGCCAATTGCATTAAATGTCATATTTTTAAATGCATGTGCTCACACAATCATGCTTTGAAGCTACATTTCTTATTCACTGACTAGCAACTTATATTTAGTTTCTGTCATTTTGCCTGCTTTCTGAACAACAGTGAAGCTGATTGATAGCATCCAAATTCCCTTTAGGCAGCTTTGTTGCCTCTTTTAGTTACATACATTTTAAAAAAACTACAGCTAAATTAATTGTAAAACCATTACAACAAGGAAAAATACACTAGTAATACTGAACTCATGGCCCATCAAACATGGACTAATTCACTTATCCTGGAGCAATTTTCTCAAGTTCTTAGCCTTATTGTGCTGTGATTCATGGTAAATGTAGAAAAATAAAGGGCTTCCCTAATCTGCTCTTCTGCCTTAATATAGCACACATCCCAGAAACCAAGCATGTAACAGTACATTCTGGTGTATCTCATGGCAGAGCTTTTTGACAAAGTATAAAATGGAAGGATGTGATTATGAACCCCAAACACTGCTCCCCTTTTTGCTCTACTATCCCTTTACTTCTATGTGGAGCTCATGAAGAAGTGACGTAGTTTAGTAACAGAGTACAAGAACATAAGACACATCCGTACACATGGTGGAAAACCAGCTGCCCAAAAGGACTCTCAAGTAGGATGGATGCTAGACCTGCTCCTGCCCAAGCTCCTCAGCAACTGGTGTACATAGGCAGGCACCTCTGGTGAAGGAAGAGGCACACAGCCACCATGGCTAGCAGCCACTGATAGCCTCCTCCCTCATGAACCTGGCCAATCCCTTTTTAAAGCCATACAGATTGGCAGCCATCACCACAACCCATGGCAGCCAATTCCATCATTTATCTATTCCCCATGTGAAAAAGTACTTCCTTTTATCAATCAGCTTCACAGGATAACTCCGGGTTCAAGCATTATGGGAACGGGAGCAAAATGTCTGCTTCTCTATTTCCTCCACACCATGCATTATTTTAAATATGCTTGCATCTGTAAGGTGCAATTCCTGGTATTTCCAGACAGGGCTGTGAAAGATTCCTGTCTTCAGCCCTCAGGAGCCCCAACTAATCTGTGCACACTTGCACAGAAATCGCTCTTGTCACCCACCAGGTCTCCTGATGTTTATTTTACTTCCTCCATTTTTAACTGGGAGGCTGGGATCCTGCCAAGCAGAGCAACAGATGTAAGCCTGCATCACCAGAACACTGATATATTTCAAAACCAACATTTAGTTCCTGATCTTTTCTATTATTACTAGCAGTGATCAAGCTTGAATGCTTCTCAGTCTGCAGCTGCACAACTAAACGATGGCAAAGATTAATGCATCTGTAAATTCAATGAACTACCAAGGCCTGATTTTGGCAAAAGGTGAGAGGGTAAAATGTACTCCTATCCTGTGGGTGACAGCTTGCTGAAACCACAATTCTAGCATTAAAACTAACTAAGAAGCTAAGGATGTAGGTAATTAACACAAAAACGCTGCCATAAAACCAGTGAGTTACATACTGGTCTATGTCCTTATTTATATTAATACAATTGTCCAAGATCGCCACAGCTTCCACTGCAGGTTATGGTAAGGTATTTATCATTGTAATTAATGATGGTACTATAATATTAACAGTGTGTGATGAAGCCATGTAGCTTGCCTAAGAACTTTCTTTGGGGGGACACAGACCTGGAGAATGTGAAAAGGAAAACTAGGCCCATCCTCCTCCACATCCTCCTTCACCTGTATTTAAATTTATCCAGGTCCAGAGTCAAAGGTTTCATGAAGTATACATCCTGCTTCATGCCAAATGCTGATTCTCTTCTAATTTTAAAGACCGTATGGCTATATAAGTGGTTGTCATTTCACAATATTCACACAAAGAGAAACACAAAATTGGCAGTCCAGGAAATATAACTGACCTCTAAATGTATATTGCTATGTGGAATAAATATAGATAGAGCTTATGAAAATGAAAGTGTGAATCAATATAGCTCTTAAATAGGACTACTAAGAATGCGTTTTACTAAAACAATAAAAAACCACATTTGTACTTTTTCCTTTTTAGTCACAATGATTCAAGTAAAACTGTAGGCATCGCTATGGTAATAAGAAATGAGGAATACTGCTGTGGATCTATCAACCTTTTAAAAGAAATCAAAAGAAAAATGCCACTTACAAAGGCTTAGGTAAGCCTTGCATAAGAAATCACATTGTACTACTACTGAACAATAAAAATGTACAAAAGAGAAAGGAGAAAGAAAAATGCTTTATATCAAATCATTAAGACACTAAATATTTTGTCCATAATGATCTTATAGCAGTACATTCCATAACGAATGTTCCCTCCCCATGGACTGACCATGCAGCATTTGTGAAAAGTGGATTGGTGAGTCAATAAACAGTGAAAAAGCTGATTGTTGTGAACATGACACCAATGTTAAGAGGCTATTCCACCCTCAGAAAGGTGCTCAGAGCTATCAGTATAGTGTAGTAACTAGAGTGCTGGATCCAGGCGATCTGGGTTCAAGTCCCCACTCAGCCACAATACCCACTGGGTGACTTTGGGCCAGTCATGGACTCTCAGTCTAATCTACTGCACTGAGTTGTTGTGAGGATAAGACTGAGAGGAAGAACGGGATTATGTAAGTAAACGACCTTGAGTTCCTTGAAAGAAAACAGATGGAATAGAAATATAATTAATCATATAAATGCAGGTGCCATTTACTAAGCATTGCTTCACACAAAAGCATGCTACCAAATTGCTAGCTGAAGTTGTAGACCTCAGTATACACACAAGTGTAATTAAATCTCACTTAATGGTGGGTTTTCTGTCTGTGAGTACAACAGTGGGAGAAAATTAATTCTGGAAGGCTAGTTATGATAAGCTGTAAGGTGCCAGGTACTTTTTCCTCTCTTTTGTTTGGAAGTGAATAACTGGTTTACAGCGTGAAAGAAAAACAAGAGACTTACGACATTCCAAGCTCTAAAAGGCTGTCTGAAGTGCCTTTTCATGCAATGCCTCAAGCAGGATTTGTCCACAATCATGAAATCCTTTTAAAAAATTGACAGTTTAGCTTGTTCTCCAGACTTGGGGGGTTATTACGTGGCACATTAACACAGTGTGACAAGGTCTTGACTTGGTTAACATGGAATGGGAGTCGGGGGCGCTGTTTTGCAGTGGTTCTGCTCCTACCTGGCTGAATGTGTCCAGAAGATGGTGCTGGGGTGGGGGGGTAGTTGCTCTGTCCCCTGGCAGTGAAGCCATGGGGGTCTGCAGGGCCCTACACTTAATCACTCAAACTCAGCATAACAAAACTACTTTGCCAAGCCACATAGGAGTGCCTGATGCCAGGACAAGCAAAAAAGCAAATCTGGGGCCCACAGAGATTTGGTGCATGTAGCCTTTGTGGACAGACAAAAGCGATTTGTAAAGCAAGACACTGATCTATATGTAAATGTAAGATTTCATTTGGTTACATGCTTGTAAGATTAATTCAATATTATAAGTTCATTCCATACTATAATATTCCAGTAGATTGATGGATAGTGTAGAAATATAATAAATTAATAAATAGCACCCTCCCCCTCAATGTTTTCTGGTTTTTAAGGACATGTAACTACAGACTTCCAGTTCTGAAAAAATACTTCAAGATAATGTCTCTGCTCAAACATATCTGTTTATCAAGAAATTCCACCAGTTCTTCTGTAGGTATGGCAAGAAATTTCAGTTAGATGCAAACAGTTTCAAATCTTTTGGGAGGCTAACCTCATGATTAAAAAAAGTCAAATTTAAACAAAATGAAGGTTGGTAAAGATCTGGCAAAACATTTTGAGGGGAACTTAATGGAACAGAGAAGAAACTGAGAATTGGAAAAAGAAATCCTAAGTAGAGAAAATGCACATTACCATGGTCTATTTCTATGATAAACTTGAAAACATTCACAGCTCACAAAAATGTAATGCTCGCAGGAGCATGAAGAGTAATATCTGCCATGGCAACCAACCAGAACTGTCTTCTGGCACTCTCTGAATGAGCATTTATGAGGAGATTAATTCGATACATGTACTGATGAAAGGACTCCTGAGAACTATAACTGTCTCCCACATATTCCACTTATTATACAATTGGCTGTTTAGAACAGATTGAGCATTATCCATATTGACTCAACGCTTTCATAGCAAATTTATATGAAACAGATTAAGCCTACATGGTATGTCATGCCATCTAGCTAATGGGCATTTCATAAAGGGTATAGCACACTTCTGTGAGGCTTTATTTTAAAGCATATTGATAGATGATAATGCAACAGGCTTGAAAACCCTAAGAATGAGCTATATAAAAAAAAAACAACAACGAATGAATGTATGTCCAGGCAATAGTGTAAGCAAAACTACACGGGGAAAAAAGGCGGAAAGCTAGTGCCACGAAATGGCTGTCAGACTGTTTGCAATGTGAATGTATTTCAAATGCATAATCAGTCCCAAGCACTTTTATCAATAACTGCCTCCCAGGATATCAATACTTCTTTTTCAGCAAATACTGGATCTTATGAGTAAATACAACTTAAGTATAAGTAAAGATGTAAGAATCTTTACATCTTTACTTTAGACATTATGAAATGAGAAGGGAAAAAATGGCCACAGTCCAACACAGCCCTAATATGATGTCATTTTCTGTCATTTATTATAGATAAATAAAAAAATTATGGTTTTAATTAACTAAATTGTGTTCAGTTGTGCTATTTATGATGTTTTATGTTGTTGGTTTTTATTATGTAAACCGTCTAGGGAGTCATGTGGCTATGAGACGGTATACAAAAGTGGGAAAGCAAGCAAGGAAGCATGCACAGAATGAAGTACATGGAAGCCATGCATTCTTGAGCTTTTCTAGCTCTACCTGGAGATGCCATAGATGAAAACTGGGACCTTTCATATGCAAAGCATGTGCTCTACCGTGAGCTGCCAAGATGTACGGATCATGTTCCATATAAACTCAAGGGCAGTAAACATAAAATAGTACTATTTGACATACTTATGAAAGAATAAATTCTTCATTTTTTCTTCTAACAGTAATTAAAAATAAATCCAGTCTGAGAAATCCAGCTGTGAGCATCTGTGCTCCAGATGCCTAAGCAAGTTGGGTTCTAAACAGAGGTTTCAGCCAGTTGACAAGAAAACACATGTTGATAAAAATAAACACTGGGAAGCACAATGAAAGGCTGTATTATTGGGGGGTTTTAAATGATATAAGCATTATCATGGAGAAGCAGGAAAAAATCACGTTTACAGAGGAAAAACCCAGTAAAAAAACTGCACCCATAAATAATTACCATATCACAGTTATAAGAATTAGAAGTACATCTCAATATTTAGTCAAGTTGTACAACAATAACAGTATGCATGCCATTATCATAAAATTAGGAGTTATAATGCACAATCAGGCTAGATAACAATCAGATGAAGAGATGGATTTATAAGTGAAAGAAGCAGTGTTATTACGTTAAACACAGGTCCCAATGGCCTTCTGAACATTAACTCTTTCTCAGAGAAACATCCATTTTAGCATTACTTTAAAAAATATATATTCAAAATAAGAATACTAACACAAAACACCATATGGGAATGAAGTTATCACTCCTGTACCCACTGCCCATACAGAAATTGCAATAACCTAAAAGTGTAACCTCCCTGATAATAAAGTGAGCATGTATTTATTCAAAAAAAGCCTTAAGTATTTTACAATTATATCTCAGTCTTTCAGGAGGAGAAACTAATTCATGAGAGATCTGAAAGCTTTGTTTCCATTTTTCCATAGCAGACGGATGTGGAAGGGAGTCTTGGAGGGACTCCTTTAGAGGACGTCTTGGTTGCCTCCATATTTTTGTGAAAGGATTGTATAGTGGTACCTAGGTATAAGCAATACAGTGTGTTTTTAAATCTGGACTCAGTGAGGAGTAGCATGGCTGCCATATGCTTACATTTAAAAGATGTGCTTAGTATCCTTTCTTGCTGACTGGAGAAGTCAAGGAACCTCAAGAAGGGGCATCTGTTTTTTGCCTGGGGCTACAACATGGAGCTAAATTTTCCTTCACCTTGTAAATATACATAGTCATGTACAGATTTCTAGGGAAAGCAAATAAAAAAGCAAATATGACGCCTCTGAGGACAGGCATTAGAAAATGATAGATAAGAAATAAATAGCAGGCAGCAAATAGTTACAAAGAAGCACTGATAGCAAAAGCATGCAGCTGGAGACTAAATATAAACAAAATGCAAAAGTAATCCTTTTCACAGCCCAGCCAAATCTGAAATATGTCACATAATGCCTGTCCTAATCATTGCTAATCCAAATGAGAGGCTGGGCATTTGCAAAATTAGTGAGGATAGTCTAGTCAAAAAAATAGAAACCATCAGGGAAGTTGCTGGTCAAACCATAAAATTATGTTTCTACCGTGTGTGCATGTGCAAGATGGAAGCATAAAACAATTATGCCTTTCAGAAACCCCGATTCATGCATTGTGTGCAGTTTGGCTGATGACAGTGCCTAAATATGAATCATTTTATAAGGCCTTGGGACATACACAAAAAGAAACAGACAGCAAAAGTCTTAGTTACTTTGTGTGCAATACTTGGATTGTCACTGGTTTAATGAAGTGTTCCTGAATTCTTTGAAGGTACTGCCACATGACAAATATTCAGTAATCATACCAGTAATTTTACATAAATTAAATAGCACATATTTCAGATGCAATACATGGTAATACTAACATTCAGACCCCGTATTTGTTTACACTTTTCCTCAAATAATGCCTGGGCTATTTGCTTGCAAGGGACTGCAGCTCTGATTTGTTTGACCGAAGGTTCAGATCACAGCAGAATACTGCCTGAACAGAAAGCTTTTGGTAACTTAGATAATTTTTTGAATGACCCTAAAACGTTAAATATAGTAACGTGTTCTCAGAAGGCAATCTTGCCATTTAAACACCCTCCAACTTCTGAAGATGACAGCAGATTGTTGCCTTGGCAACAGAGCTTGTTCAACATAAACCTGGAGAGTCATGTTAAAAGGACACGGACCGCATGAAAAACCAAATACAAAGCAGAATATTTTGCAATTACAACTACAAGTACCCCAACCTTAACAGTTATACAAAAATTAGAGGGAAAATAGTGATCTTTTCAGATGTAATGAAGTTGACAGCAGTAAGTACTGTGAAATTGTTTTATATATGCAGATACTTACTGATCATGGTAACAGAGCTAGCTGGCACTGACCCACACCAACCTGGAAACAGACTCAGTTCTTTAAGAGACAATGGTGCTAAAAAATCTTATTGCACCTTCCCCACCACCAAACGATGGGGGAGTCCAGCAGAGCTCAAATGGCATGGAGAACTTGTTTACCTCTATTCTTTTCATGAATCCTGCCAGGCCCATTTCCTCTATTTCTTTCACCAAGTCTGTTCCATATGGTTGCTTTTTAAAAATATAAATAAAACCAAACTAATAATTTATATATTTTATTTCATTTTTGAGAAGTACATGGTTTTCTTTGTAAATGTTTCAAATGTGCATTTCATCAGATGCATTTTTCTGCTTCACCAAGGCTGAAAATATAGGGGTTTCAGAACAAAAAATGTTTCCAGTGCAGGTGGTCTCTTTCCAGCTGATGCAGGTCTGATAGAGTGGATTTCCCTCACATCCCTACTCTTTCCTAGCATTATGGTTGCACAAAAGCCTCTTTGTTCACGCCTGGTACCACACCATCACTGCTAATTAGGTTTTGTAACTATGCAAAACTACTAGAGGCCTCTTCATAGATGCCATAACTAGAACTGAGCTCTACAATCTCCTCATTTCATCCCCACTCCAGTCCTGATCATTGATAGACTATTAATATGCAGTTTCAGAAAATCAAGACTCCCTGGACAAAGCCACAGAGATACCATAAGGAATTAGTGGACGTGTACCTATAAATTCCATGCTTATGAATAAGAAAATCAAGATCAATGTGAGAGAAGAGTAAGTTTCTGCTAGAAGAGTTTTGCCTT